AATTGTCCATTAATAAAGAATTGGTCGAACAAATTGAGAAACATCCACACAATAAAATATGCAGCTGTAAAGAGGAAAGAGAAAAGTCTCTATAGTTACTATGGCTTTATCACTAAGATATGCTGCCAGGTGAAAAAAGTTAAGATGGAAAAGAGGGTATATAGAATGCCACATGTAAATACATCTACATTCACACACAGAACTGCTTAGAAGACAAAGGATGGGTAAAGCAAAGGAAGGACAAAGCACAATACCAAGTTGCTTTCCAGCATTCTCCCATAAACCATAAAAAAAATGTTAATACCCTTTAGGAGAGAAAGGAAATAGAATGGAGAGGCAGGACTAAAAGGCAGAATTCATATTCATAGGTGAAGAGCAGCCTTGCGCCACTATGCAACCCAGGAGACTAGAAAGATACATATAAAAATACGCAAGGACAGTTTAAGCACATATACGCTTCAGTCCACTCAAAAAACGACCGATCGTTGCTGTTTGCATCTGCTGTCTCGCTGTATCAAAAAGGCTCTTTGGCAAATCACATATGACACAAAGGGCTAAAATCACATGAGATCTCACTCAATTTAAATTCCAGCATCATTATCAATTACAGTGAGGGGTATTTCTCAACAGCACAGTCGTCTGAGCTAAGAAAACCCATTTTGAGATGCTGTCCATAGTTATCTTCTATTAACAAAGAACACAGCACACACCAGCTACTAAATTATGCTCCATAAAGTAGTCAAATTATGTAAAGTTCACCAGGATGGTGCCTGTTACCCAATGTGACTCTACAGATGATACTTGAAACCATTCCATTAATCTTCCAGTCAGGGTCTATTAAATGTACTAACTAATCCAACATTCTTCTTCTGAAAAATCATTAAATAATCCTTAAGGAAAGGCTAATACTGGGAACACAGCAGAGCTCTATATGCCAGACACCACGCAAGGTGGTAGGGATTAATATTTTAAGCTCTGCTACTATGCTAAAAAATCAGAAAAAACAGATTAGCAAAATGTTAAAAAAAAAAATGCCTGAAATCTCATTACTGCAAATATTTTGCTAAATATTCTACTGCTTATTTTTATTTTATTAAAAAAATATTTTAATGTTTATTTTGAGAGAGAGAGAGAGAGAGAGAGAGAGAGACAGAGAGGGAGACACAGAATCTGAAGCAGGCTCCAGGCTCTGAACTGTCAGCACAGAGCCCGACGCGGGGCTCGAACTCACAAACGGTGAGATCATGACCTGAGCCGAAGTCGGAGGCTTAACCGACTGAGCCACCCAGGCACACCTCTACTGCTTATTTTTAATCTCTCACACGACCTAAAATGTTACACTGTTATCAGCAATAACGAAAAAATACACTTAATAGAATCAGTTTAGTGGCATCATAGCTAATTTTCTGGTGACTTTCCTTTACTTAAAACATCTCCTACAAAGAATATATATTTCTTTAAAAATCAAGGTAAAAAATTTCTTAGCCTAACTTAAAAATATAAGAACTTTGGAGAGGATTAAATATTTTGAGGCTTTGAACGAAATATGGCCTTTCCTTTTAACCTCAGAAGCAAAAGGGATTTTAGCACATTAAAAGGAAGGCTATTTTCATTCCATTAAGGTGTCAAAAACTTGAGAATAAAATCTGGACACTGAACAAATATTCTAACAGCACGTTTTGAAAGACTTTCCTCCACAAATCACTAATCAGTCTGAATTCGTCTGCCCAATGTCCATCTTCTTTTACTACAGGAGGAGAAGACCAACTACCTAACTCATACACAGTAGAGCTTTCACAGTCCTTCAGCACAAAATAATTTCCATAATGTGTAATGAAGTTTAAAAAGTCATCTTTGTTTGTTAAATATTTACCTTTGTGCAGTTCCCGGTTATTTTCTCATCGGTCTATTCTATATTCCAAATTGTCAAACAGCAAACATCTGTTAGCTTTTTCCATAAAAGAGACATATTCATATTTTAACTGAGCTACGGTCATGTGATTTACAGCACATGCCTTTCCTATGCACCCCTGTGAAATTACACGGTGATGACAACAGGGAAAAAAAAACAAAACCCCACATTATTTTTTTCTCATTCCTTATCTACCTGAAAGACTAGAAGAAAACATTCACCACAAACACATTTCATAATTACAAGTAAGGAGATCATTGAATTAGGAAAGGTTCAGAGCACATTCCAGACATCATATGTTCCCGGGAATAATCCTCTGACATCGCTCAGACATTTATGAATCCCCTCTCTGGAAGAAAATCAAAAAGAACATAAACACATGCAGTGTCTATACACTACACCTCCAATGCAGAGGAAAACCACATGGTAATGTTGACGGGAGAAAGAAGCAAATTTAATTAAGCACTGAAGAAAAGGAAACTAAAAGGACAGCCAATATGACGAAGCACGGGAACCAATCCCGGGACACCTGCTTGGTCAGTGAAAACGGGCTGGGAGAGGCTGACCAGTACACTTTAATATCCTGTCTGATCAAACGCCCAGGCGGAAAGGGGCAGCTCTCCCTGGTTAAGACGGAAAGGAGACAGTGACCTAGTCTCGGGAGAGGCCTGCACAACACACTTACTTCAAGGAATCATTACATTCAAGACCTAAGTATATACTCTACGACACACGGTCCTAGTTTATTGGGATCTCTCAGATTTTCCTTAATTCATTTCTGACCCCATGTGTCTGATCAAGATCGACAGGAACGACAGGAAATGCCCGCTGCAGCCTTTCCTGGGTCCTAACAGAAAGAGCCGATGTCATGTCAACGCAAGGCTCATACGATCCGATGCAGTCAGAAACCCGGCAGATAAATGGGTGACTCAGCCAGAGAGAGGGATGAGAGCGGCAGGGCACGTCCCCCACCTACAGAAATTCAAACACTGCAAAAGTTGTGATCGGTCCCCAGCCCGCAACGCAACTCCTGACTGAGGTGCACAGAATGAACACCCAGTGACCATTTACAGCCTCCACAGTTATGAGAACTGTTCTTGCTTGTTCCCCTTCTGCCCATAAAAAGGAGAATTAAACTCAAAGGACATCAGATGAAGAGGAAATAGATGAAGAGGGAAAAAACATGGTTACTAGAAATAAGTGTTCTCAGATATCCAAACAACTAAGAAACTCAAACGGCTTTCAACACACCCAACATAAACACGCACACGTGTGTCCACGGTCCGCACGGCCTTCTATAGCCAGCTTCGTCCTACGACCGAAGGAGCGTTAACCGAGTTAACTACCCCTAAACCATGCCTCTGAGTTTTACTCTGCTGGCACACGATGAAGAGCCAGCAATTCTTTACCATCCCGGGAATTCTCTGCCATCAGCAGTGACGGCTCTGAACCAGGTTACCCAGGCTGGAATTACCAGAAGCACGGGGCCAGGATTATCTTCTAAACCGCTGCTTCTGTATTTCAAAGTGAACGGGTATCCAAAAAGCGACCATCGAAAAGCACGTGACCGAATCTTGCGCATTCCTCGCAAAACTCGTTTCCGAGTACCACCCACCACCTGAAGAGGTTTAGAAAGCTGACGACCCGACTGATCGGTGGGGCAAACGGCCAATTTCTAGTCCGGCTCATCCCGCTCGATCAGCCGCCGGAAGGCACAGAGCAGACGCTGTCACCGGGACATCCTCCGGGGTCTCCGCATCCGCACAGGTCTGCTTCCAACCGCCAGTGCCCGCCTCCCTGGCCCCCGGAGCCCAGGCGCCCATACGGGGCAGGCCCCAAAGTATGCGGGAACGTGCACCTGCCGAGGGACGGCCCTCGACAGCGGACGGTCAAAGTGCCCGGTCCCTGCCCCGCTCGCCCTGGACCGTGACCGACGCGTGTGTTCCGCGCTCCGCACACCCTTACGGCCTCGCCTGAGGTCCGCGCCCCTTCCTGCCTCGCTCGCTCTCTCCCTCACGCCTTCGTTCCCCTACCGGTGGGTCCGGAGATTACCTCACACAGAAACAAGGCCAATTTACATTTGCATCGCAGGACTTGCTTCTGGAGAAACCCAAACTAACAGAATCGGGCTGCGGCAGAAAAGAGACGGCTTGACGAATTCTTCTACGTATGAATTACGGTATTATTCCTAAGTGGGAAATTGAATAAAGGTGGGTCTGTATGGCTTTCGTTGCCCGCAAAATGCAGAATAATGCCTACAAGAAGTTCTGAGAAGCCGCAAGGCGTTTTTATGGTCGCGAGAGAAGAACATTCTCTTCTGAGGAAAGCAAAAGGGCTCGGGCAGCACAGCCCGAAATCGTCATCGGTCAAGCGAGAAACGCAAAACACCAGCTCGAGCCGCGCGGTCGAGTCTGGACGCGGCGCCACCGTCCCGGGCCCCTGCGCCGCGCTCACGAACACGGGCCCACGTCACGAACTCCGCGTGAAGCAGGCGGGGAAGGCCTTCTGCTTCCGGCTCCAACGGGATCAGAGCCTACGGGCCACCGTCCCCCTCCTTCCCACAATGAAGAGCCGGACACGCTGAAAACCGGGACTTCGGCACCGCGGGGGGGAAACGAGGCCGCCCCGACGCGGGAGCCGCACCGCCGGCACCTTCTCTCCCGGGGCGGGCGCCGGGCCGCACGCCGCGCGCTGACGGGAGAGGGAGCGACTCCGGCCGTCCCCACCCTTCCGCGGGCTCCGCCAGCGGGCGGCCGGCGGGTCTTCGCCGCGAGGGCGGAGGGGCGGAAAGATCCCCTCGGCCTCTGGCGGGAGACGGGCGGAGCACTCGCCGGGACACCCAGAACTTTCCCCACCGCAGGGGCATCCGCTCCAGGGGGGAAGACGTGCCAGAGCTTTCTCCTCTTCGGGGAAGGGCACGCCCCCCCCCCCCCCCACCCGGGCCCCTGCTAAGCCTTCCAGTCAAAGCCAAGGGGCAAAGACAATCGCCAAAGGTCAAGGCTTCCGGGAAACGGACCGGGAAGGGGGAACCGCCACCCCACTGGCGAGCACCCGTGACGGTGGCATCTGCCGATGACGGAACTCTCACCCTCTCTCGTACTTGACCGCCACACCCAAGGGCTCCAGGGCCGACCAGGGTGAGGCACGGCTCAAACAGCTGCAAGACACAGACTGTCTGGGGAAGGCTGCTCAGAAAATCGCAAGGTCAAGAGGGCAGATACAAACAAGGTCGCCAGAAGCATCCGGCAGCGACAGCAAACGCTAAACAGAGCCAAACCCCTCGCCAGAGCACCACCAAGCCACTCGCCAGAGGTCTACGTACCTCAGGTGCTATGACCTGACCCTTGTCAGGTTCTCGACAACAGAGGTGAGACGTACCGAAAAGCGAGCGGAAGGCAGGTCTGAAGAGACGACGCAATCACAAGGACCAGACTTCAACGACACAGGTTTGGGGATCGTCCGAGAATTTCAACTATTTCTAATTGATACGTTAAGAACGAACGGAAAAGACAACATGCAACACGTGAACAATATCAACAGGGAGATGGACACTCTAAGGAAGAACCAGAAGGCAAGGCTAAAAATCGAGAAGACCAGGACGGCAATGAAGACGGCCTTCCGCCACGTTCACACCGCTGAAGGAAAAGCAGTGAGCCTGAACAGAAGTCAACACCTTCCAGACCGAAACGCAGACAGGAAAAAACTGAACATCCAAGGACCGTGGGGCAAATTCAGGAAGTATAACACAAAAAGTACTGCAATACCAGAAGAAGAAAGAAAAAAGGAAGAAGAAAGATGTGAGGTGACAATAATAATGGCCAAGAACGTTCCAAAATTAGTGACAGACTCCAGGAAGCCAAGAGAACCCAAAGCAGAATAAATCCCCTGAAAACTCTCACCTGCATATACTATAATCAGAAAATCAGAAGACAAAAAAATCTTTCCAGAAGGGGCGCCTGGGTGGCTCAGTCGGTTGAGCGGCCGACTGCAGCTCAGGTCATAATCTCGCGGTCTGTGAGTTCAAGCCCCGCGTCGGGCTCTGTGCTGACAGCTCAGAGCCTGGAGCCTGTTTCAGATTCTGTGTCGCCCTCTCTCTCTGGCCCTCCCCCGTTCATGCTCTGTCTCTCCCTGTCTCAAAAATAAATACATGTTAAAATGTATATTGTAAACTCTAAGGCAACCACCAAAAAAATTCTTTACAAGAAGCACAATTGATGTGCTATGTAGAGGCAGAATTATGGTCCCCCAGCAGTATCCACATCCCAGGAACTGGGGTTTCTCAGCACTTGACCTTCAAATACAGAGATTATCTTGGATTAACTGGGTACACCCAGGGTAATCACAGTCCTTAAATGTGGAAGAGGGAGGAGGGAGGCAAAAGAGGACATCAGGATGACGCAAGGTGAGAGAAGCAACTCAACCTGCTGTTGCTGGCTTTCCAAAGGAAGGGACAGCTTATTTTACAAAGCGAAAATAATCTAATCCTATGATACCTGAAATGTGCTTTAAATTAACCAATAGGGATGAGACAGGCGGGGTAATAGATGAAAAAAGACCGACCACTAACAGAACATTTTCCATAATAAAGCATTAAAAAATATGTATCTTTCACCTAATAAAAGTGTTCCTTTGACCCTTACCCTTATATTCAGGTGTTGGGTTCTGTAGGTATATTGATCTCCAGGGGTTATAATGTGCTTACACAGTTCAGTCCTCAATTAATTCTTTTTCATTGAGTCCAAGATCACAAATGCCAGTGGTCTGTCCTTGTGAGTTTTGTGTATTTGTATATATGAACTATTTTCTCCTCACTTCTGCTTCCCTCCTAGTCAACAGACGCTTCATCGGAGGACAGCTTACAATTTAGTTTTGAGACAGGATGTTCACGTGGAAAGAGGTGTTGGGGGTGAACGCAGACGCGGCACGGTGAAGGGTGGACCATGTCACTGGACTTACAGTCTTGCAGCTCCAGGTCCGTGGTTCTCAGCCAGGGGCTGAGACACTCCATACCGTCTGGGCAAATCTGGCAGCCCCCAGGGTCTCTTGGCAACGTCTGGAAGTGGTTTTGGTGGTCACAACTTGGGGGATCCTACTAGCATCTGGCGGGTAGCAAAACGCTGCTAAACATCTTACAATACGCAGGGCAGGCCCCAACAACAGACGATTATCTGGCCCAAGATTTCAACAGTGCAAAGGCTGAGCAACCCTGTTCTATTGTGTGATGCTAAGGCTGGGGCTGGGACTCTCCATACAGCATTTTTCAAACTACTGATAAGTGAACAACTTGGATGAATCTTGGAAATACATATGGAAAAGTCTTCAGTCTCAACAATCAGTAAAGACGCATAAAGAAAAAGAAAAATAAGATCCTATGTCTCCAATTAGCAAAGTTTTTAAAAAATATTCCCTGAAGTACATATACTCAAATGATACATTTATCGGTGATAAAATTATATTTCTGAGGGACTGGTTGTAATAATTCCATTTTCATTCATGATTTTATCTATCTGGGTCATTATCGGTGATAAAATTATAAATTGCAAGGCCCTTTTCAAAAGCAATTTGACAATGGCACAGGAATCTTAAAAAAAATCTTTATTTCCTTTAGCCAATCATCTCACTTTCTCTAAGGACAAAAATCCTAAAGAAATAATAAATTGGGTAAAAAACTCAGGCACGTCCTAAAGCAAAGTCTAAAAAGTGCTACAATAAAGATATAAACAAACTATACAGACATAAGTGTGTTTCTCTTAGAAGCCGATGTCCAAGTTTGGCTTTTAAAAAAATAATACCTCAATGACCAAATACTGAAACATTTCAAGGAAAAAATTCACAGCTTGGAAAATCACAACACGTATTTGTTTTTAGTTTTCCAAATGGACTAGCAAGTTAGAACGGTTGGCTGTAATGAATGATTGGCTGGTTAAGGCTCGTGGGAAGCAATTACTTCCGGGAGTACAGGCTGGGGCTCTGGCCCTGAGGAGGAGAATTCATTGGTTCCGGGGGTGCCTGGGTGGCTCAGTCAGTTAAGTGTCCGGCTTCAGCCCAGGTCACGATCTCACGGTTTGTGAACTCGTGGCCCGCATGGGGCTCTCTGCTGTCAGCACAGAGCCCGCTTCAGATCCTCTGTCCCCCCACCCCCCGCCCCTTGCGCCGCGTGGGCTTTCTCTCTCTCTCTCTCTCAAAAAAAAAAAAAAAAAAAAAAGAATTAACTTATTCTGAATGTAAAAGAAAGCTAACTAGTATCTTTAGGCAAATATATCTTAGGAAGAAAATTCCAGCAGAAGTGTACAAAATGGTTTGGGACAGAGGGGGAAAAAAAATCTAGAACCAGGAAGTCCAGTTAGAAAAATTCCAATAAGAGGCAATCATGGGAGCTTCCCTCTTGCTAAATGAGATGTGGCCTGATTCATGAATCGTTAAAGCCAATTAGATCTTAAAAAAAAAAAAAAAGCAGCAGCGGAAACGGCTCTATCCAGAGCTGTGGAAGTGGGCGGCAGGCAGGATCAGAGGCAGAACTGTCTGCACCGGTCAACGTGACAGGACGTGGGTTCCTAGGGGAGAAAGGGAATAAAAACAACTCCCAGCTTTCAAGTTTTGGCGACGGGGAGCATGGAGAGAACAGGTTTGGGAGGATTCGCAGAGGACGAATTTTGGTCTGGGTATGTTGCACTGGAAAGGACATCTGATGTAGAGGTGTCCCTAGCTTGACATTCAAACTTAAGCCTCAGAGCGAAGTTAAAAATAGAACACCAAAACTTTAGTTCAAGTTACACGGAAATAGCAGAAGAGGCTTTAAGTAATGAGCACAAAATGGATTAGGGAGCAAGCACTGAACCTCTGGGGACAAGCACATTTAAAAATCGTGTAGAAAAGGATACTTAGAGAGGACATGAGAAGGATCACAAAATCGAGAACCTCAAGAGGGTGTACTGACGAGCAACATGAGGTGTCACCAAGATTTACAGAGGTCAAGCCGGCAGGAGTTGAGGTGGGGCCATCAGATTTGGCCACAGCAGGGGCATGAAGGCCTTAAGAAAGCAGTTTTAAAAATGTGAAGGGTTTGTTCCTCAAAAAGTCAAACACAGATTTATCACAGGATCCAGCAAATTCCACTCCTAGGCATACACCCCAAAGAATCAAAAACAGACACAAGGAGCCTCATGTTCATAGCAGCACTATTCATAGTAGCCAGAAGGTAGAAACAACCCCGAGTGCATCAAGAGATGAATGAATGTGATACAGCCAAAAAATTCAGCCATAAAAAGGAATGAAGTCTAATAGATGCTACACCATGTATGAAATCTGAAAACACACGAAATCAGCCAGACAAATATTGTATGAAATAAAAAGGAGGATACGGTCTGGCTCAACTTTATCTAGAGTAGTCAAATTCAGAGAGGCCGAAGGGATCTGGGAGAAGGTGGAAATGGGGAGTTACTGCTTACTGGTCACAGAGTTTCTGTTTGGAGTGATGAGAAGTGTTTTTGGAAATAGTGGGATGGTGACCCAATATTGTCAATGTACTTCATGCAGCTGAATTGTGCACTTAAACATGGTCCTAATGAGGGGCACCTGGGTGGCTCAGTCGGTTAAGTGTCCGACTTGCGCTCAGGTGACGATCTCACTGTGAGTTCCAGCCCCGCGTCGGGCTCTGGGCTGATGGCTCAGAGCCTGGAGCCTGCTTCAGATTCTGTGTCTCCCTCTCTCTCTGCTCCTCTCCCCCTCATGTTCTAGCTCTGTCTCTCAAAAATAAGTAAATGTTAAAAAAAAAAAATTTAAATATGGTTCTAATGATAAACTGCATGTTGTGTTTTACTGTTTTACCCCAATAAAAAGAAGTTACCAAAAAAAAAAAAACAAAAAACTAAGTAGAACCCAAATTGCAAAGAACAAACAGCACAGAATTTGTCAAGAGAAGATGTGAAAAGTGTGGCCTACTCTTTCACCACCTTTAATTTGAAAAGCTCAACTGATACATATTGAAGGTATGTATCATCTCTCTTAAAGTAGGTAAGATTTTTCCATTTTTCTTAAAGCAGATCATATTTCAACACATAGTACTTCTGGATACACGGGAAAAAGTGAGTGGAATAAACACACAGACACTGAAAAGTCAGGTCTACTCCATGATTTGGGGGAGGAGAGTGACAACAGAATATCCTGGCGCACAATAATACTGTGAAAAGCACGTTCAGCGGCGCCTGGGTAGCTCAGTCGGTTAACCATCGACTCAGGTCATGATCTTGGGGTTTGTGGGTTTGAGCCCCGCCTTAGGGCTCTGTGCTGACAGCTCAGCCTGGAGCCCGCTTCGGATTCTGTGTCTCCCTCCCTCTCTGCCCCTCCCCTGTTCGTGCTCTGTCTCTCTCTCCAAAATAAATATTTTTTTTTAAAAAAGCACAAAGTTGTAATTTCATTTTATATTTGGAAAACCGACCAACCAAACAACTGCTTTCAAAACCCAAAGCAAAAAAGAATGCTGACCCCAATCTTCTCTGATGGTTAAAAAAACAACAACAACAACAACAAAAAAAAAAAAAAACAACAAAAAAAATCACACGTATGTTAATATTCCTCAAAGGAAGCAGTCTATCAGACCTGGAAGGCAGGGACTTGGTATTTTACATTTTACGCAAACTGCATGGATTTCAGGAATGTAGTAAAACTATGTAAGACAACCCAATTTCTCCAACGAGTATATTTGCAAAGAAAACGAAAAGAGAAACGAGACGCACATCCACCAAATCCCACATGTGGCCTCGGTCAATGACCGTAGGAAAAAAAGGAGAAAGTTTTTGCGCCTTTCGGGGGAAACGCGAGCGACCTGGACCCGGTGGAAGGGGGAGGGGGGAGCAGCGGGGCGGGTGCTCTGTTCACTCCTCCCCTCTGCGGCGCTCCCGGCTGCGACTTTCCATTCTCACTTCTGCGGCCCCGCTTGCTCTGCTTC